ATTCATTCATTCATTCATTCATTCATTCATTCATTCATTCATTCATTCATTCATTCATTCATTCATTCATTCATTCATTCATTCATTCATTCATTCATTCATTCATTCATTCATTCATTCATTCATTCATTCATTCATTCATTCATTCATTCATTCATTCATTCATTCATTCATTCATTCATTCATTCATTCATTCATTCATTCATTCATTCATTCATTCATTCATTCATTCATTCATTCATTCACACAACATCAACAACAACAACAGCACACATCAACAACAACATCAGCAGACATCAACAACAACATCAACAACATCAGCCGACATCAACAACAACATCAGAAGTTTCTAGAAAGAATTTGTTGTAATTTTTATTTAATGTATAACATTTCTTTTAGGTTGGACTGTTTGTTTTCTGTTGATTTAATTTGGTTGAATGAATTGATTTGATATATATGTGTATGGTGTGCTGTGTATATGTTAATCTATAAAGAAATAATTATATGTAATTATTTGTTTCTTTTCACATTTTGAACAGAAATTTTTGTTTCTTTAAACATTTTTTGTTTTTTTTTTATTACACATTTTAATAACGAAAAGTTCTGTTTTAAAGGATAATAATGTATATATATATATATATATATATATATATATATATATATATATATATATGTGAATATATTTCATTACCATTGATACATTTTTTTCCTACTGACAATTTTTTTTTATTCTTATTCTAATTTATTCTCGTTGCGTTATCACTGAGAAGCTATTTTGAGTTGCACGGTTGCCGAGCTCACAAGAATTAATTTCCTGTTTTTGGTCTCCGAATCATTCATGCTTTTTTGTTTTGTTTGATTGAATAAAGTGGTTTGTAACGAGTTGGTGAGGATGTTTTTTTTTTATTTTGAAATCAGTAAAATCAGATTATCAACAAAATTAAAACTATTTTGGTGTTACATTTTTCCTCTACTAACTTACGGCTCTAAGTCTTTATTCAACCAATCGCATGTCATCCTACTTAGGAGTAACCAATCACAAGTCACAATTCCTTTAATTTAAGCAATGGTAAGTCATCGAAGCATAACTCGAACTAAACATGCTGTCGCATTATTATTGTTGTTATTTTTTTTTTATTATCATTGCGTTAAATCGACAAAAAAATGGAGATCTGATCAAAAATTCCAGACATTAATTTAAAGAGAACTGAAGAAAACAGAACGTGTTAGAGTAAAAACCATGGATACATATATCCATGGTAAAAACAACAATAATAATAATATGGCCCACTTGAGATTGACATTGAATAAACAATAGATAAAATAAAATGAAACAGATTTGACTGAATTAAAAAGAGTACTGAAAATGAGTCAATTAAAAGCAGTAAGAAGCAGTAAAAAACAAACAAACATACACATGCACACACTCAATTTCTCACACATCACACATGAATACACAACATACCTACTAAAAACAAAAAGCAATAAGTGGTAAAAAAACAGTACAAACATAAGAGAAAAAGGAACCTGTTTTCTAGCTGATAGAATTTTTTGAATGGTGAACGTCCTTCCTGAATTATCTCTTGATTGCAACTTTTCAACTGCCCACCTGACCACCTGATCCAACAGCACCTGACCACCTGATCCATCTTTATATCACTCCAATCGCCAGTTTCCTGTTGACAAACAATGATCGATGCTAAATAAAACAAAAAAATAAACAGACGCTTAAAATTCATTTTTTTTAAGTTTTGATCGATGAATCTTAGAAAGAACTCCATTGTTTTGACGACCAGGATATATTTATACACATATATTATATGCATGCATACATTTGAAAGCCATGCGGGTGCGTTCGAGGGCCTGCTAACAACTCCCTTGCTGGGCATCCAATTACGTAACGAACAATGCTGGCCATCCATATATATATATCCATGGCTTGTACACGTACACTATCCACCGTCTTTGGTTACTCACAAAAATCCATTTCTTCGGCATGTTAGTTGGATAGTGACGGGGTTTTCGCATATACGCTTAGTTCTCGGGAATATATAAATAGAGAATAAATCGAACCCAAGTTTTTAGATTTTGTTAAATTAATGATTGTTTCATTAACGCCATTTTGGATTGTTGGATAGGTTTTCTATAATATGAATTATTTTGTTATTCAACTTAATTTTGATTGGTGTCTCTGTCTCGTCCTTTGATTATTTTCTTCTTTTTTATTACTAATTCTTAAGAATAGAAATAAATCACTATCTAATTAATTCTAATTTAGTAATTTTAAACTAATCAATCATCATAAACTTGTTATTCCTTCGGCTTGGTAAAATGATGGGTATGTTTTTAAATTGAAAAACCCAAGCAGAAGATTTTATAAGAAAGAGGAGATGGTGATGGATCTTCCAAGTCCGCAGATTGTGGGTCGAGAGTTTGTCCGGCAGTATTATACAATGCTTCACGAGGCTCCCCACTTTCTTCATCGTTTTTACAGTAATGATTCTAGCTTCTTGCACGAGAGTGTAAGCACGCCTGGGGACGAACAACAGCCTGCTATTGGACAAACTGTGTGTAACTTTCAGCCAGCTATTAGTATATTACATACATTCATATGTTGATGGTGTACTTTATTGTTTGCTGTTTGACCGTTTTAATTGAAATTAAACATTGTTTTATTTTATAATTGATTTTTAGGAGATTTTTAAGAAAATTGAATCCTTGAATTTTTGTGATTGTCATGCAAAGATAAGGCAAGTTGACAGCCAGCTAAGTGTTTGTGGGTCTGTTGTCATACAGGTTCCAATCTTTATTTTGCTATTTTCCTTAAAGTAAATGTTTCAAAAAAGTTCTTATTTTTTATGTAGTTATTGTTATTGTTGTTATGCAAGTGAATTGACATTTGCTTGATGTTTCATCAGGTGATTGGAGAGTTGTCGAACAATAGTGCCCCACTAAGAAGGTTCATGCAGACATTCGTGTTGGCTCCTCAGTCTCCAAGAAAATTTTATGTTCATAATGATATTTTCAGGTCTAGTGGTTTTTTGCTCAAATTTTATCTACAGGGGTTTTGTTTCAATGTTTATTATTTATGTATTATTATTATTTTTTTAGTAAAATTTTAAACCTGATATTTGTGTTTGTTTATGCTGTTGTTTGATGCTTAAACTAACATGTAAAATGTGCTGCTGCTGGTCCTAATTTTATACTTTTTTTATTGTGAGAAGAGGAAGGTCATAAGAATTGTAATTTAGCAACATTCAAAAACAATTCCAAAATGCATTTTATTTTTTGTTCCTATATATGTATATATGTTATTTTGTTTCTTATTTTTGTTATTTATTTTATTTTCTTTTTTTTGCGATTTTATTCATGTCAGTTTAACTGTATTAACTATGAATTTTGGTTTTATTTCTGCCTTAATTTATGAAGAACCAATTGAGAATAATATGGTTATTTAAGGAATCCTTTTTTATTTTAACTGATTGTTTTTCCCTGAGATTAAATTAAAGCTGTAAAAAAATATTTAAAAGTTTTTTCGTGTTTTCTTAATGATTGAGTAAATGATTGAATATATAATTGAAATAATGGTTTTTGATTGATTTATTGGTTGATAGAATGATTGATTGATTTATTGATTGATTGATCGATTGATTGAATGTCGTTTTGATTGCATGTAGATATCAGGATGAAATTTTTGCGGAGTCGGATGTTGTCATTGATGGCAATGATGCTGTTGATGCAGACAAAGAAACTGTTGTTGGATCGACAACAAATTTTTACGGTAGGTTATTTTGTGCTGTGCCATCCTTGTTGCTTGGTTTGCTGCATTTGTTAATGTTAGTTGCCTTGTCAGCTATTAAATTGCATAACTGGGCAAACATGTTTAAGGCTTGCAAGAACACAAAGAAGAAACTTGCCAATTTCGCAAAGAAGAAGAAGCTCATGAGGTGCCGCACAAAATGCGGTGTGACAGCAAACAAGTTGATGCAAGCATCTGTAGCGTTGAACCACATTTACATGGAAGCGACAGAACATCAACAACAGTTTCGGATCACGATGAAACAAATAATAACGAGGAACTTTTTAATGAGTATCAGCATGATAGAAATGATGATGTTGGTTGCTATTGTGATCATCACACAGGTAGCCTTGATGTGCAGACGGTTGTTCAGTCTGCCCATGTTCAGTTAGTAGTTTTTTCCTTCACATATACAAACGTTCATAATTTCGTTTTAAATTATTAACAATGTTTCATAATCTTTGATGTTCTAATGTGTTATAAGTCGTTGTGAGGTGTTGTTGGTTGTGCATCAATAATGTTCATTGTGGCATGTTACATCATTTTGTTGAATTGCTTTGCTAGGTCATCATGTATATCACAAAATGAGAAGTTGTGCATTCAAGATGACGTCCATGATGTTGAACATCTTAATACTGCTGCTGCTGCTGCTGACGGTCACTCAAACGATTCAACCCAGGAACAACAACATTGCGAAGCAGATGATGATGGCAATGATTACGAAGTCACTGACGATGTGGAAAGTGAAGTGGCAACAAGAGAAGCGGCCGATAATGAAGCACACATTGACGCGCAACATCAGCACAGCAGCATCTATCAAGGTGGAATAGTTTAATATAGTTTAATAATATCACTCAACAATGAACTATTTAGAATCAGTTCAATCATTAAGTCAGATAAACAAATACAGAAACGTTTTTTTTATCATAGGAGATAACACTGGCACGTTGAACATGCACACATCCCTAGCGACATCATCGGCATCAGTTGCAGTAGACAAGCCATCCTGGGCAGCCATGCTGAGGCAAACAGTCTCAACAACTTGCACCGGCAAACAAACAGTCAATCAAACGACTGCTGTAGTTTCTAGGCAACCAATAAAACTGCAGCAGCAACAACTGCCATCAGCTAACAACGCAGCCTCTATCTCTTCATCATCAACCACTACATCTGTTTCAAGTGCTCAACAAACAACGTTCAATAAAAATATCAAGTCAGTGTTTGTTATCAAATTTATCTTTATCCATTCCCAGATTAATGTAAAATGATGATGTGACAACAAGCAACTTTACACATGAACATGACTCATTACTGTTAGTAACATTAGCAGCTGCTTATTTATTGGGGAATAACGCAAAACACAATTGAAATGAAACACCAATTTGTTATTTCAACTAATTAGTACCAGCTGTTATTGATATATTAGAAAAGTTAACTGCACACAAGCCTGCTTTGAAAACATTAACTTCTATATTATTAATAAATCTTATTCATTCGTTTTGCTATCAATTTCATATGGTTCCTTAAATAACCAGAGCAACATCAGTCGTGCAACAATCAACAACACAATCGAGTAGCAATGATGAAGACACATCAACTATGCAGCAGTACCCAGACAGTCAACAAATATTCGTCGGCAACCTCCCCCACAACATGACAGACATGCAGCTTAAAGATTTTTTTCAACGTATGTTCTCTTTTTTCATTTGTTCGTAATTTATTCATTCATTCATCCAACAATCAATTGACCCATCCATCCATGTACCAGAGTTTGGTAATGTGTTGGACATGAGAATTAACAGGAAAATCAACAACAACTTGCCTGTTAGTGGTTCATTCTTTGTTGCGTTCTTATGTATGCTACCTGCTGATTGGATTAGATGTATATGTGTCGACTAATATCTCGCACCTTTAACTGATTATTCTCATCACACACACTCATTCATCATTGCAAATTATTATTTAAATATTTGAAACAGAATTTTGGCTTCGTGGTGTTCAATAATCAAGAAACAGTTCAATCGATACTGAAGTGCAGAGTTCGCTTTTTTTTTCCTACTTTCGTTTGTTTGCTTGCTTGTCTGTCTGTGTGTTTGTTTGTCTGTATGTTGTAATATTAGTTGATTAATTTATCAATTATCTCATGGATGTACCAAATGAATAATCAGTTAAATAAAATAATTGAATTTTAATTGGTCAATTGACCAAAACAGCCTCTGTACAATGGCAAGCAGCGGGTTAATGTGGAGGAGAAGAAATGCAAAGAAGACCTCTCAGGCAACCGCCCAAGAAGTAGCAGCAACAAACAGCAGCAGCAGCAGCAACTTAAACATCACCAAACAAAGCTTAGTAACAGCAACAATGTAGTGTCATCAACATCACCATCCAACAACTTCAATCAAAATCAGAAGTGCAACTCAACTGCTGCAAACGACAACCCTAACAGAAATTAAGTGTGCATCCAATAATTTGAATAGTGATGTCTTGTTCTGTTGTGCATGGAGGTTGCATGTTATGAAATAATTGGTGTGCCGAGATGAATGAATGGTCAAAATGTTGATTACATTGGAACATACAATAGGGTGGCTCATTTTGGGTCTAACAAGAATTTAAAAACCACGTTCAAATTTTTGCGAGTTGCACTATGAAGCGTAGGAATCTACGTTTAATTTTTCATCTGCACGTTCATCAGATGATGCACCAGGAGAACAAGGCTTTTCAATGGACTAATAACATATTTTGAATCTAATATTTGGTTGACGTTGCATGCCCTGATGTGCATTCAATGTCTGTATTATACACAAACGCTTATATTTATAATAAATGATAATTCGTGGTCATTGTGATTTTTAGGATCGATTAATGATTTAATAAGTGACAGAAACACCCTGGTTATTTTCAGTTCAAGTAACTAAATAAATGTAGTTTCGCCGACGCTTCTGATTGATATAAGCACAATTTTTAAATAAAGAACTGCACGTGTACACAGGCATGCTGATGTCCCGCTGAATCATTTAAATATGGCACTGGCTTGTGTAATGTTTCATTTCAAGATAGTTTAACCATGCATATATATATACATAGAGAGAGGTGGTTTATTTATTCGTGTCCACAGATTTCAACGCTTGAAATTCAAACAATTGAAGTGACGATGTTTATTATGATAAAGATGGGAACCGCTCCTGATTAAAATTTTCAATGCTATGGATCTTTTTGTTGATCTTTTAAATATGTTTCATAAATTCACGTTTAAATAATGTTATATTTGCTGTAATCTAATTAGATGAAAATATTTTTTCAATTTATTGTTATTAGCGTCCTTGTTTATTTGAAACTATCGGTGACATTAATATTGGTACCATCGTTATGGTCATTGTTGTTGCTACTGTTATCTTTCGACATTATGTTAACTAATTGCTTGTTGCTGATTTATTTTGCAGTTCAGAATGTACATGTATGTAATTTTGCATGTGTCATCATTCTATTTTGCCTTGTTTGATAATTTTCCATTTGAAAATTAAAGTTAAAATAAATACTTTATGGAAGCGCTGTTGACTTCGGGTCGGATGCGTTGGACATATTTATATAAATCTGATTTATATATGGATGTTAGTGGTCGCCCGTGTTTTCGCTTCTCTTATCTTTTCTTACGTTCGTCAATTTCATCATCATCTTTTTAAAAACCTCAACAACTTTGTAGGAACAGTATTTCAAAATCGAAGACGCCACCAAATTTGCGTACCTAACAGTTAGTCGTCTCCAGAATGGCTAATTTTTATGCTTCTATCATCAACGTACTTGTTTCTTGTTGGCAGATGAGTGTAGATTTTCAATGGTTTTTATTTCGATTGAATGTCTATAATATAAGCGAGTTATCGTATTCCAAAGTGGACAGTACGAAACGACGTTATTTTTGCACCATCCTATTTATTGCATTGAAAAAATTACAAATGAAACAAAACTTAATTGTATTTAAAGTTCAGTCATATGTTTCGGCTAATTATCACCTTCAACTATCCCAAATTTACATTCAAACTGTCATCAGTTAGAAATATTTTTTGTTAATATGTTTAGAATTTGGTCGATATTTGGCGATTTATAATTTTGAGCACATTAGAACAATGCTAAAAAATTGTTTGCTTCCAAAAGGACGAGGACAACACATCTGACGATGACTGACTAGTGCGGGTTAGCTCACTCAACTTGTGTGTTATTATCAATACAAATTGATTTGAAGATAATGATAGTAATAACAGCTGACATCAAATGGGACAGCAAGGATTATCATTAGCGAGCAGAATGTCAATGGCATAAGTCTCCGCGAGCTGGGAGACAAACAGTTTGTCAGCATTTGCGTCCATGTTCATAATTTTCATGTGTTCCGACGTTATCTGTCTGTCATCTGAACATGAAACCTCTAGCATGGTCGACAAGATGAGATCGTTCAACTCCGTAAAGTAACTGTTATGTCGTTAGTACTATCATTGTTTATTGTTATCGCTTATTAAAATTATGAAGCGCAAAAGCAATAAATGTTGTAAGATATGCAAGGCTAGCGTTGTTGATGGCGATGCTTATGTGGTTAAGAATGAATAAAACGAGAATACTTCAAGTAAATGGAATCTCCGTCCTCATCACCATCTTCGTCCTTCTCCTCATATTCGTCGTCATCATCATCATTATAAGCCTCGTTGATTCTGATATAAATGATCGGATCCGTGAACATACAAGAGGACATATAATATAATATATATAACATGTATGTTAGGCTCATGCAATTTACTTTGAGATTAAAATCTGCAAATAATGACAGTAGCAACTAATTGTCAACATCATTCAAGATATATTATTATTACTGATGATGATGATGAACGAATGAATGGTTAATAAATACTTCAAGTTGATGACGTGATTGTACTTCTCTTCATCAGCTTTGTTAACGACCAGAATGTTCTTGAGGGATGATGATGATGATGATGAGATGAATTCACCATCGTCTATGAAAACGTCATACAGACTTGTTTTCATCTCAAATATTTTCTCTGTAGTGCCTTTTAATTTGATTATATATATTATTGATGAAAATCACAGCATAATCGGCGTTAGTTAACTTCCAATTTAACTTTCCGATTTTTCTAACGGTTGATCGAAAATCATTCTCAAGTTTCCTTAGTCCAAAACCAAAATTTTTGTTTATTTTATGCATGATAGAACAGAAAAGCTTTTTTCGGTATTCCTATGCCGTCTTCGGTGTTCAAATTTATATGTTGTGGTTGTGCCCANATGATCAAATATTTTTATACTGTGCCTATTTATTGATTCCTTGTAAATTCCAAGTGAATATTTAGTTTTACAATCTTTCAACATCGTAAAATATGACACTTTTACGAGATTTCACGATGATGAATGAAATCGATAATGAAAACATATAAAATTGTTATATTTTACGATGTTGAAAAATTGTAAAACTAAACACAGTATAAAAATATTTGATCATCTGGGCACAACCACAACTATTCAATTTGAACACCGAAGCATCCTGTTTAACTTTTCGATTTTTTAACGGTTGATCGTAAATCAATACGTTTTGTATTTGGCCAGATGCTCAAATAAATATATATACTGTGTCCCTACTCTAGTTTGTTGAGTCCTTGTTTGTTAAAAAATCAAAAAGTTAAACAGGAAGCTAACTAAGGCCGAACATGCTGTGATTTTCATCAATAATTGCATATCTGACAGCCTTAATCCAATATACATATATATAAATAAATATATATATATCAATCAATCAATCTTCGTTTAGCGTCCGTCCAGAGACTCAGTTCCCCGAGGTAGGACGTATATATTGCATAATATTGCATATATATTGCATATATATTGCATAATAATATAATATTATATATACTTGTATATATAATACAAAATCAGTATATATAACAGTATATATATATATATATATATATATATATATATATATATAAGTGCCACACACTTTTTTCTCTATTTTGTTGTTATTGTAATTTAGTTTTTAGTTGTACTGATTTTGAAAATATTGAAAGTTTAAAAATTAACTCATCAATTCAAATTGAAAAAAGAAATGTGTTATAATGTTTATATGTATAATATATAGCACCTGTAAACATACAGTAATAAGAAATATATGTATATATATATATTATATATGTATATATTATATATATATATATAATATATATATATATATATTATATGTATATATTATATATATATATGTATGTATTTAGGCAGTAAATTTTCTTGAATGCATATTTTGTTGAACTTGATAGAACTTATCTCTAACCTTTCAATTTTATTATGAAATCTACTGTTAGTTTTCTTGTCTGGTTGCCCGATCAGGCATACATATATCAGGTACTATATACATATAAATATTATAACACATTTCTTTTTTAAATTTGAATTGATGAATTAATTTTTAAACTATCAATATTTTCAAAATCAGTACAACTAAAAAACAATTACAACAAAATACTGAAAGAAACAAGGGCCGTGATGTGTTGGACACACAACTGCCACCTAAATAATAAAAAATTAGGAAATTGTAAACAAGAAAAAAGCAGCCAGACGAAATAATTGAACTTTTCAACTTTAACTAACAAGCAATGTATGAAGACTGTGACGTTAGTTGTTCTATGTCAGCCACATTTATGTAGAAGTATGGGGTGATGATTGGATAGCTGGCTAGAAACTTCTGCTTGTTGTGAACGGCAATGCATGTTACACAATGAACTATGTACGATTATTTTAATTCGTAATTATTACATTTAATGAAATTATTATTAGTTTTTAACAATTATTTGAACAGCCAACTCATCTCATTTATAAAAACTTATAAATCATATCACATCATCAACCAACTGCATGCACTCAAAGACATTTGGCAGATATCATCATCTGACCCACCCCAAAAACATGCAAAACCAATGGGTGGTGGTGAGTAATAAATAACTCTTCTGCCTAGCATGGAAAGTCTCCAAAGCACAAATACTCTGGCCCCAAAAAACTTTAAAAACTGAAGCACCGAGTGTTGTGGGTGTAGTACCTGCAATGTTGCATTTTGCAGTAAACGTGCAGACAGCAGAAATAAAATTTGTTAATCATGCATGCAACATCAATAAAAATAATGAGGGCAAATTTTAGCACATGTGTTTTTTCTAGGTTCACAGCATTGTGACTGTAAGTGGGAAATAACCTTAATTGTTTTTGTGAGCATGGCGTGGAAGTGATGATGGTGATGATCTAACGTCAACAATCGTTTGTTTCTCCAAAAGTCTTCAAGATCTTCATAATGTCCAGGGCGATCCAAAAGTTGCCTCAAACAAAAATTTGACAATTTTATTAAAATTTCTTGAATGAAGTTGGTTTCATGCTACGTTTTCATCATCTTCTAGAAAGTCAATCAAATTGACACTAACAAAACTTTCTGTTGTAAGAAATTGAAATGTGTAGCCAGGTTGTTGTAACTATTTGACAGGATGGCAACACTTTTCATTCTCGATCCTCTCTCCAAGTTTTCTTCATTAAGAACCTTCTGGTGGAAGCACGACAGGCCGTACATGTGTCCATGACGAAAATAACTGCAAACAATTTTAATTATTATCCACCTTTAAACAATGCAAACAACTTACAATAATGTTTTATTATATACTGAGTTGAATGCATAATTTCAGTTAACATGAAATAGAATTCTAGGTACATGACTGACTGAACTAACAAAAATTACTAAAACCAGAAGATATAAACAATTCAACAAGAAACACTTTAAAAACACTTTGAATAAGTAATCTATAAATGAATGAATGAGTTTAAAAATGTTAAAAATCTATTTAAAATAAGCATTGTAAAGCCATCAGAAAAAATCCTGAGATGAATGAATCTCGTAAAATTATCATACTGCACAAGAAAAATGTTGCAATGAAAGACCAACACAAAATCGGATGTCGTATTGTGTGAACCGCTGACCAGTGCTTTGAATTCAACACCGCTAAGGTTTAATTTCTCTGGTTGCTGCCATTCAATGATGTTTCCTTAATTTTTTAATCAGTTCATCATCGTCGTCATCATCATCTTAAGTGAATAAATTGAAGTCCAAATAAATTTATTCAGAAAAAATTAAGAACAGAATTCAACTTTGAGACACTTTGAAGAATAAATAAAATGCGACAGGGAAACATGTTCATATGCATATTTCCACACATACCAATAAAACCAGTGAATAAGTTTGACTTGATGACAAAACGTATATAATTCAATTTTTTAAATGTAACTGTATGTATCTGCATTTAGGGAACTGGGTGGGGTATTGTGTGGAAAGAAATGGTCAGTGAAGATGAAAGGAAAGGTATATAAAGCATGTGTGAGAGCAGCGATGGTATATGGTGATGAAACTTGGGTGTTGATGAGAGAGGAGGAAAGTGTACTGCAGAGGGCTGAAAGAGCTATGGTGAGGATGATGTGTGGGGTTAAAGTGAAGGATAGGAGGAGTAGTACAGGGCTGATGTCGATGATGGGACTGAATGAGGACATGTGACATTGATAAGGAGATTGAGATTGCGGTGGTATGGGCATGTGTTGAGAAGGGATGAAAGGGTCGGGATTAGGCGAGCGTTGGAGTTCAAAGTTGAAGGAGTGATAGGAAGGGGTTGTCCGCGATAGGGAGAAGAGAGCAGGTGGAGAAAGACAGAGTGAAAGCGGGGTTAGGTTTAGGGGCAAGTGACAGATGTGAATGGCGTCGAGGGGTATTTCGGTTTCATCATAGGTAGCCAAATGGCAACCCCCAATCTCGAGGAAAATGTCGTCTAAACGTGTGTTGGTGTTGTGACTGTATGTATCTACAAGTGTAAAATACATAAAAAAAATTCATTGCATGTATGCAATAATTACATTTTTTTGAAAAACATATTTTTCTCAAAATATCCAGTAGTAGATTTGAGATAAACCACAGAATCTTATTCATATTCATATTAAGGTCTCTTAAGATTTATCACGAATACATCTTAAAATGCAATAAAAAATTTACCAGTCTTAACATCAAAAGCGACAACAAAAACAGCAGTGAGCATAAGTTCTCTTTTCATCTTCTTCATAAACTCCTTCAGATAATTCTCCCCTTTGCCCAATTCTTTGTGGTGAACTAGGCTATCATCATCACCTATAATTTTTAATCATATAGTTTATTATGCTATCATCATTACCTACTAATTATTTATTTGATTAAATACAGACTGGTGAATCAACAATTCAAACATTATTGAAGTTATTTTTTTGTAGTACAACCCCATCGATACAACATTATATAATAAAATCTTTGATGCAAGTCTAGACTAATGAGCATTGTAGCTAATTTGTTAATAGAATAATAAAAATAAAACCTTTTGCAGAAGTATCATCACAGTCGCCCATCCAGTCCTGAAAACGATGATGAGCTCTTGTTCTCAGGCGTAGGCTACCCCCTTTCAATTTCTTTAATGAACCTCCTCTACATCCACCCCCAACATCACCTAACAACAATGGCCTTTCCTCCTCCATTTCTTCTGGAACAATCAGAATGAATGGATAACCAAAAAAAAATTAAATGAACGCTCATGTCCTATCATATTATTTATTCAATCAAAATAAATAAATATATCTTATACTTGTAACAAATATTATGCATGATCAAACTCAACTTTTACTGTAATCATTACAGTAAAAGTTGAGTTTGAAACCAACTGATGAAAATATAACTAATATAACATAAACATTTTATTTTAACAACTAACCAAAGGAGGCCAAACAAAGGTGAATGTCGTTCTCAGAAACCAAAGCTAAAAGTAGCTAATCACTTTATTTTATAACAAATTTAATTTTGTTCTTATTCAATTCAATATCAGTATGATTGTAAGAAACTTGTAGAAGGCTAGAAGTTAAAAAGGAGAATAAGATGAGCTATGTCAATTTAATGATGATGTTTGTTTTGTTTTCAAGATGAGGATGAATTATATTATATAATTCATATATAATATATTTATATATTAAATATTTGCAGATCTCTTATACTACTTTTAATGTTTAATCAAATGAAACAAAATTTGCCCAAAAAAATTTGAACAGTTTCCAGAGATTTGTTAAACTTTAACAGAATATGATGGCGGATTTATTATATTTATATTTTTAACTATAGCCAAATAAAAAATGAACAGTGGAAATAATAAAAAATTATCCTTAAAAACGAGTCGGTAGAGTAGAGATAAAAGGTAAACTCTTAAGCGGAGTGCTAAAAGTTTACCGAGATAAAACTAAAATATCAGACTATTTAAATAGAACTAATGAATATAACAGATTAATTTATTAATTAAAATAAAATAAAATTGATGACGAGCTATAAATTAGTTACTTTAAACTTGAGCTGTTTAAAATTGAATTTAAACAAAACCAGATTATAGCTAGACCGAGAGGAATTCAATCAATCAATCAATCAATCAATCAATCAATCAATCAATCAATCAATCAATCAATCAATCAATCAATCAATCAATCAATCAATCAATTAATCAAGTTCTTTGCATATCTTTTGCATTTGTGTGGTTCTTTGCATATCCCTGCTTCAACCCATAAAAAGTGATGTATATTGGTAAATAGGCCTCCCCTTGGCCGAGCTATTTGACATGATTAGATTATTGTCTTACGAAATTGCGTGGATTTTAACGAGCAAGCTATATGAAATATTTTCATGACTTAATATGCTTTAAACATTGTAGTAATTCTATTTAATTTTATTTAAAAAATTATGTATTTATTAAATTATTGTTAATTTGAATATAAAAATTGCTTTTGGTCCAGTGAAATCCGGTGGCTTACTGAAGCCGAAGGTAGGCTTACTAGGATTGAAATATAGTCACCCTTTTTTTTTACTCTATTCGATCATTTCCAGAATTTGTTTGCTTATGAAATAAACGGCCTAAATGGATCAAAATTGCAAAATTGTTATTTGAACAACTATCTTCATTATATTCAATGAAAATTTTACATTCTGCTGGTGGTCATATATATATATATTATATATATATATATATATATATATATATATATATATATATACGTGTGTGTGTGTCTGTGTATTCATCATTTTTTTAAAACCACGAATTTTTCACAACTCGAAAAATGGAAACATCAAGTCTATGTATTGAAACTTCCAATTGTGAAATCAGTCATTAATCAGTTCACATTATCCTAAGTAATCGACTAATCAAAAATGAAATAGTTCACAATTTAAAAAACAGAATATATGATACAGCATGTTTCTATTATGTACACAAATGGCAGGAGTTCCAAACTTCTAATTTATTGTGGTTTGAATTCATGAATTATTGACTTTTTTGTAAGAATACCTTCTGTTGGGTCTTTCAGTATTGTTGTGGAATATAAGCTTCTGTTCTTGCTGAGAGGATGAAGTTTTCAGTAAATAGAGATACACGCCACCAGGAGTTCGCCTTCTATCTCCTTTCTTGTTTCATTTATGTCGTTATATGACAACTCAATCGTTTACGATAATTAATATAAGATAAATAATAACATTAAAATCATGCAAACTCATCACTCAAATGACAAACATAAAAACATCCTGAATTGTTTGTGCAAGATATTTATAACCAATGACAAATCAATTGACAAAACAAACGCAGTGTTATAAAAACATTCTTAACAAATGAACAACAGTCTCAACGACCAATAAAATTTGAGAAAACAAGACACAAAACAACGTACCAATGTCATTAAGCCTCCATTCCTCTCTACATTGTATGTATCTCTCAACAGATCAAGACTTCTTTTGCCACCCAACACAGTAAAAATTTCACCTGAATATTCACATCAACTAATAATAATAATATTCAATTATATTTACTTAAAATTCATATCACTTTTTCCAGATATCCAAACAAGTGAACGAATTTTTTATGTCCAGAAAAAACAAATAAGTTTTCATTTGAATAAAATATATTGGTGTATCTATACGAACCAAAAGTTTGTTTCATATGATCAGGTTCATGAAGAACAGTTATCAGCTCTTCTACAATTTCTTCCTTCCCATTCAGTTTATCAGCTCTTAATTCATCCCACTCCATCTTCATGTACCCCAATCTATCTCTCAATGATTTCTTTTCTTCATGTTGAGCATTGGGACACAAGGCTTCATTACTTTTGAAATGTTTGCAGTTTGTTGCCTGTCCAATCGTTGCCTTTCTCTTTCGTACAGATACTTTCTGAGAACATTCTGGTGAAATTTTTGAGCGAGTTGTCACTCCAAATGTTTCAAGATCATCAGAACTAGATACTGTTGCTGCTGCATCATCATCTTCAATCTTGAAATACATTTTTATGGTCAAATGAAAATTTATTATCAACAAAGAAGTTAAATGTTACATGTTAACAACTATTTGGAGTTATTATTCAAGTTCATCCTAAAATTTAATGAAACTGTTGTTATCCAAATTCATCATGCAAATTCAACAAATTTAACAACTTCCAGAAAATTTTAGTAAGGGTTAAGGTTAGGGTTATTTTTCCTTCCTTTGTTCTTCAACAACAACAAAGATGAAGAATACGATAACAGCTAATAAACTTTGCTGAAAAACTTTGCATTGTTTAACGAAATTATATAAACCAAACATGCTTTGAAGATGATTTACGAAAAATCAAAATAAGGCCTCATCTGCATTATGAATGCAGATAACAAACAGTTTCATTGAATTTTCATGATGAACTTGGATAATTCTATTTTCAACAAATTGAACGATTTCCAGAATGTTCTAGTAAGAAAAATTGAGAAAACAAACTTTAAATTGATTAATGCCAACAATTCAGTAGCAGTATATATATATATATGTTGGTAAAAGACCAATATTTTTACATAATTCTATAAATTCTACCAAATGTTTGGCATTAATATATTTGTAGTTCGTTTAGTTTATTAAAATTCAAAATAAACTTATTTTCCGAATTCATGCTGCAATATTGGGTAAAATTTATAGAATATTGTAAATATATATATATATATACATATATATATATACATACATATATATATATATGCATACACACACAAACAATTCAAATGACATATGCAAAGAAGAAAATAATGGTTGCAGCTGAAATGTGTGATTATTAACGGTCACTTTCACGGACAATTACTATTAATAAATATGATTAATATAAAGAGATTAACACTGAATGAATTTGTAGCTGATGAATCATTAGAAGATTGAATGTTGTTGTTCTGTGATGGTCTGGTGTCCAGCAAGGCTCTTTTAAAATCATAAGATTCAACTTCTCTATCTTTTGCATAAGAATCACCAATCCCTGTCATAGCAGAGCTAAGCAACTGATAAAAATAATTATAACATTTTTATAGCAACAAATAGTAAATATTTGAGCGAACATTATTCAGAATAATTTCTGAAAAATCATTCCATATATGTTCAAAAATCAAAATGCTATGGATAATTTTTCTGAATATAAAAAATATTATAACTTGTTCAGCCAGAACTTCATTCCAAATGTGGTGCTTAGCTGAGTTGATTTTTTTAGAGGTGTCCTTGACTTGTTGCTTAGTTATACATCTCAGGGCCTCTTCATTATCAGATATATCCTTTTAAAAGTTAAAAAAAAACATATTTCTTATTAATTTCTACATTTCAAATTTAAAAATAAAAAATTTTAAGCTTAGAAATATGCATGATCCTATCACTAATTATCTCTTATTACTATCCCCATCTTCAATATATTAGATAAATTTGCATTATTCAATTATTGTTATACAGTATTGTATGAATTTTACATAATCATGAAATGAAAAGAAAACGAAAAAAAAAAGAAAGGAACTTACACTGCCCACAGGACTACAACTGCTGGAAAGCTCACCGTCTTCCATAAAAAAAGAAGCACGAAAAAATTTTGTTTATTTTGGTTAAAAATTATTAAAATAAACAATTTTTAAATAAATAATTTTATAATAAAATAAAATAAAACGAGTTTAACCATAAAAAATTAAAGAATGACAAAAAAACAAAGAATTAAATTTGGAAGTAAAATTAGAAACAATTTAAATGCTTAAAAGTTAGTTGACACCATAGATATAGAAAACTAGTCTTCAAAATTTATGGATCAAATTTTTTCTCTCTTAGCCTACAATAAAAAATTTCAATACCCTTTAATTTCAATCACGTTAAATTAGCGTTTCCGAACGTGAAGCGTACACCCCACTGGGGACAATTTTCGAAAATGATTGGGGCTTTACAGTATAAAGTAGAAGTTTAGTGTTGGGAAAAAAACAGTATGCATTTGATCTAAAAACACTGTATATATAACCAGAAAACATGACAAAATAAAGAGAATAGTTGATTAATCGGAAAATAACTAAATAATCCTCATAAGAACATTAACGTTTTTTTTAAACAAACAGCAGGGATAAACAATTTTTGCGGGATCTGTTGGGGGCAGCGAAAACAATGGAGTAAAAGACCCTGCTCAAAATTAAACAATTAAAAAAACCAAATCAATCAAATTTTAAATTTATATTATTCAACTTCAATTTTATATGCTGTTTCGACAAAAAAACAAATGCTGTTGCCTTAGCTACGTGAGTATACCTGTAACTTTCAATATATGGCAATACAATGGCAAAAGTTTCAGATAGAATAAAAATTATAATGAATGATTCTTTCGTTGTAGAGAAATGTGGAATAAAGTTTTCGCCAGCATCAATTGTTATTACGTACAAGGGAGTCGAAAGAAAGGAAAGACTTCGCATAAGAATAGTACCTGTGCGCAACATCAACTCTCAATCTACTGCTCGAGGAATAGTGGAAAATTTAAAACTTTCCTCGAGTTATAAAAATCTCGTTGAGAAGATTCCAATTCAGCAGCTGGAGAATTTAATTCAGATGCTCATAGACAGCAAAAAAAATATTGACAAAAAAGAAATAATTTCTAAGGTATGTCGAGAGGAAATGTACGCGGTTAAAATTATTGTTATCAATAAACTGCTATTCCATTTAAATTTTTTGTTAACACACATCTTCAACGAATAAAATTAATCAACTGACATACGTTAATACAATAAACTTTCAACAAATATTTTGAAAATAAAATATAAAGGCAAGAAAGATGATGGAAATTGATCCAAATGAAGATTTGAACAAAGTGGACGAAGACGTTTTGATTATGAAGAAGGCTCTAATGAACGAGACGTACGAAAAGAACCTGATAAAACCTGGCGACGAAAACTTCAAATATGATGTCGTTCTACAAATGGAAAGTGATCAAAAACTTGAAACACATGAGTGGGACGAGTCATCCGATCTCGATCCATTTTAAATTTATGTATTGTTATTCGTGTCATCTTTCACACTTTTATAGACAAAATACACTCGCGTAAGGTTTGTTGCAACAAAATATTTAAAATACTGTTATAGATCTCAGGCATAGTGATATATGAAAATAATTAAGGTAAACAAAAAAATAGCATTGATATTAAAATATGATTAAAATATTAAATAAGAGTAAAATACAAAAACTCAAAAAACAGGCCAACGAGATAAAATATGTTGAAATTAAATAAAAACATAAGAAGTTAATTCATCGACAATAAAATAGCAATATATTAAACATCTCTCAAATGTATGATGAACGCATAGTACATTCAAAATGCATTGAACTGATTGAATAATACTTTCAAAATACTCCTGACATGGGGTTAAAGACAAAAAAATATCGCGTTTAAGGTAGAAAAATCTGCTGACTGGCATTGCTGTTTATTTGTGGAAACACTGTTTTCACCGACGTCAACAAAGGAAAACACAGAAATAATAACGAAATCCCTTCAATACATCTGGATAAATCAAAATAAACAACAAAACAACTACGTCACATCTTATATAAATTTAACAAATCACATAAAAAAGGTAATACTTTTTATAACAAACAAATTCAAAGAAACAATATTATACATACTTTCTTTTACAAGTATGACGACTGGTAATTCTCATTACATCAGTTAACAATTGACAATATCATTGATACTTTAAAAATTTCACTAAATGTCAAACAATCAGAACCTTGAATCGCGAGGCAAATTGGAACATAAATGTGTACATGTACAACACAAAAACACACACAAAAACACACGTTCATAGAAATGATTAAGCATTGGGGCACACAGGGCATGATGCTAATTAGGATTGTTTATAAATACTATTTTTACAAACGTGATTCAGCTCATCTTTCATGCCATCAACCTTTGCAAGGCCATTATTAACATTATCAACACATCTCAACTTGATTGATGAATTAAAACTGGAAATTTTCTTTATAATGATTGGATAAAGTTTTCCAGTAATGGTGATGAGAAAGGTTTGATGTGCAACACCGACCATCCTGTACCACTGACCTGAAAATGGATCAGCTGATGCTGGGCAAATTATGTTGTCTATGTTCACCTGTGTCAGCTGTGCATTGAGAATTTACATTTGAAACAATTTGTGTTTTAAATTTATTTACAACACTCATAACCCAATTAAATAATAATAAAATATTGAATAAAAAAAGCATTTTTTGAAAAAAGAATAAAAACTCAAGAAACTTTACAATGGAGAGAGCTTGTAGTACTGTGAAATGGAAGAGGAAGACAAGGCCCTGCGCCATCACAGGCCAACTCATGTCATTTTTTCTCTCAACTGTGTAAGCTGTGTAAGGATTATTTCATTGATTGCGGTGAACTATTCTTTCAAATAACAATATTAAAATATATTCCATCTTTCACTTGAATAAAAAATAAATTAATTAAACAAAAGAAAATAAAATAGCAAGAGAGGTACCTTTATTTTTCATTATGAAGTAAGGTGCAACTAAGATGAGAACATGCTGAATAAAGTACATCTCTCTTTCAAGCAGTAACTAGATGATGAATTAGTTTCATTCACTAATATCAAGTTATTGGTAAAAAATTAAAACCCATATCAAACTAACCAACTCACACTCAAAATTATGCAGCCAAATAAATTTAAGAAAATGTAATTTTGTAATGCAATTACTTTTCTAGAATGAACAACTGGAATGATGAGAGCTATTATAGGGCCGATTAAATAATATAAATGCAATCGGAAGATGATTAACGAAGTTTTGCTTGGTGTTGCACTAAGGAGAAATATCTATCATTGATAATGTTATCAGTAATTATACAAATTTAATTAAGCTTTGTTTTCTACTTTAATATTTTTATTAACGAGAATAATTAATTATCAATTAAAATTTAATTATTCATCAATTCAATTGTTTATTGTGGAATCATTGATCATATTTTTAGATTTTACTTGGATTTCAAATAACAACTTGAAGTTTAATAAGGTTTTATTTACTGAATTAATTATTAAAATAAAATTAAATTAGATATCACATTTCTTAATAATGGTTAATAATCATAATTTAAAATAAAATTGTATCAATAATTAATTTACTAATAAAAAAATTATTCGATGTTAGCGTTAGCTAATTAATTATTAATTGCTAATCAACCTGAGCCATTGTGATCATGTGGCATGGATTAAGCAGCCAAATAACTTGCCTTGTAGACAACTTGAAACCAATTTCAATTCCAAAGGCCAAGCTCAACAACGCTAAAAATTTATTCATGCTGTTGCTGATCCGATCATCAACCTTGCCCACATTTTGAAAATTAACGCTAGCTGATTTAATGTCTGACCAGGCAAAAGAGATTTGCAAAATTGAAAGAAATGAAATCAAAACAGTTTCCAAGATTTTTCTTTCAACCGTGAGAAATGTGACACAATCAGGCCCCCCACTGCTTGCTAACGAAAAATTAACCCCCGAATACGCCCAACCAAAATAGTTCGACGCCATTATTCCCGCTATTCGCAACCGAGGTCCAACGCACACCGGCCGACGAAAGGTTTAAATTGAAAAAAATTTATCAAAACAAAAACATTGAACGTTGATTTAGTTAGCTTACGCATCAGGCGCTTTTTTATTCTTATAATTGAATGTATGAACGAATAACACAATTAATCACAACCCCTAAAACACTTTGTCATCGGTAAATTTAAAACGACGCAACTTTTCTGCATTCTTGTTCCAAAAGAAAAGTAATTACCGCCCCCACCGACCACCAGTAGGTTGACGCCTCCATCACCGTCATCTTCATTGCCATTAGAAGCAATAGTCGGTAACAAAAAACTGCAGTGGTTGTGCATTTGTGGCTGAACCTGTTGAGAATTACAACTTATTCTAACGTAACAATGCAAATCAGTTTTGTCTGTGTATTACTTAAACATATCTACTTCAACGAAAACACGCAGGCACACAAATGTGCAGATCGACACAGTACGCACATCTCGCGTACGACATGCGAGGATCGCTTAGAACAGTGGCGTCACTAGGGTTGGTGTCACCCGGTGCGGTAACTCATGGTGTCACCCCTCTCATGACACCCCATAGACATACAGCATTCTTAGCAAAATTTATAAATACGAACAAGTTAAATGTGCTCGGCCGCGGCGCTTAATAATTCGGACGTCGAATTTGAATGGTATAAATGTCGAATACAAAAATGATTTGAACGAAAAAAATTTTATTCATAATACATTTCTGGGCGCTGGGCGGGTTAGGCTGAATTAATGATAAGAATAATTTCATGGAGGGACATAAAAACATATACAGTGATATTTTGGTGTCACCCCCTGTGAGGGTGTCACCCGGTGCGGTCCGCACCCCCCGCACCCCCTAGTGACGCCACTGGCTTAGAAACAAAATGAATTCAGTCATTGTAATGCAGAACTACCTTGCAGTTTCATACAGAGCATAATAATGTTTACTTACAACAATCATTCATCATAGCATAACGTAAGCGCGTATGTTATTGTTATATATATACACAAAAAGAGAGAGAAGGAGAGTAACCATGAGCGTAGTTGTGTAATGCCAAACATATCCGGTGAGCAGATTAAGAACAGAAGCAACGAGAAAGACACCTTCGAACATTTCCTCATCCAGGCGGCGAGTAAGGTAGTCGCAGTTGTAATTGAATACACCACCAATGAGAAAAAGTTTGTCACCATGTACGTGGGAGGTGTGCGAGAACCTATTGAAGCATCAATTTTGAATATTGCATCGATCATTTAATATTAAAAAATAAATATTAATGTTATTTAGCGTTTAATTTAAGGGTAATAATAAAGATTTCATGAAGATGGAGAGCACTGAATGAGTTGAATTCGATACGCAAATTGTGTTTGCCTCAACTTTTACAAAACATCAAAATGTAAATAATAATAATAAATTTGAAATAAATAATTCTTGTGAATTAATGATTCTTTTTACCTAGGCCTCAAACACGAGTTGAACCCCATATATGTGCTTTCAAATGAATTGAGATCAAGAAGTTGAAGTTGGCCGAGGGGTTGATGTCGACGATCGAGTCCTCCAAATATCAAAGCAGCATTCCTTCTCTCCCATATGTCGCACGTGTGACTGAATCTTGGCGGCAAGTTACAATTGCTTACCTGATGTATATTATTTATTTAATAAATTAATTATACAGCAGAATAACTGAATAATGTTGGACGTGTAATTTGCTCACTTTTTTCCATTCCCAAAACTGAATATCGAGAAGCCAGCAATCAGCAAAAACTTCATCGGCATCTCGTCCTCCAATTATCATCAGGTGTGATCTCTTTTCAACTGTACAGCAGTGGTTAGGTGTTCATTTATTGATGACGACGCAAACCTTTTAATGAAAAATATCAGTGAAACAAACCTGTGACTAAGTTCGCTGTGTGACTCCACCTTAATGGTGGGGATGATGATGAGGATGATGATGACAACGGTGATGATTCTGAAATATCATCAACGATCTCAAAAAATAGCCTACTCTTATTGAGATGTAACTTAGCAACTGACGTTTTAAGACTTTTAATTGCCTCCTCTTCTCCTTCTGTGAAGTTCACGAGGACAGCATCATCACAGCATTGAAATGGAGAACGACGACCACCAAATATGATCATTTCTCTCTCATTCAACTGTGTCAGTGAACAGTGCATTCGCTCAAAACATTTCAATGACCGACTCATTTGTTTCTCTGGCATAAAGTTAAATTTGTTCAAATCAATCTGTTCTTTTGATATGATATAAACATCGAGTGTCTTCGATCTACAGTGTTTCATTGGCTGGTCAGTTATTTGGAATCCACCAACAATGAATAAAGAAATATTATAACTATTATTTTGATCAAAAACAACTATAGGAAGACAACAATGGCCATATCTTCGCACTGAAAGTTTTGTTTCATGCACTGAAGCATAACTTACACCTTCAGTGTTATTCCCATTATAGTTAGAACTTGTAGTGTTCAATATTTCCATCTGTCTGGAAGATCTGAAGAACATGTCCTTGTGATTATTTATTGGATCCTCTTTTATAGGCCAGAAAACTTTTTCAAGATGAACGCATGAGCCATGGAAAGCATTGAGTATGAAGTAATGAGAGCATTTAAGATACCATTCATCATCTTCATCAAATTGTTCCAACTTAAATATGCGAAACTTCTCACTATCTTTTATATGATGAATGTAATAATGAGCCATTGAGCAAGCAATGCTCGACTCATAACCCTGCTCGATGAATGAACAAAATAATTGTTATTATTTGGCCAGTAATGCAATTGAGGATGAAAAATTGAAACATTTTAAAGTTTAACAATTGGTTAAATTGATGGATGGATGAACGAATGAATATAGACTTAAGAGTCGTCCCCTTCAGAGTTGCCAGGTCGAGTTAGGCCAGGATTATTTCGATTTCTAGTCGCTGCCAATTTTTTCTTTCGCGTCACCCCAATGTTTTCAAGTCACGACTTACCACATTTTAATGTGAATTTTAAAAGAAAACTAGTTTTCAACAAAGTTTCGGAAACAAAATGAAAACGCATAAAAGGATGAGGCTAAATTAGCAAAAACTTACTTAAGTGCTTAGGTAAACAGTGTCCCATGCGAACGAGTTTTTAAGCATGGGACTGATCTTCAACATGAAACATTTGGATGGCACCAAGTCGTGCTAATATTGTTTCTTTTATATATAAGTCATTATTTTATTTTCTAATTACTCAAACAAACAAGAAATGCATTTAACTATCTTGCCTTTTCCAAATAAGCTTTTAATTCAAACTTTTTTATAAATCCGGTTATCAGTAGTTTAAATTGATCAGTCAATGTATTACCATAAGTGCTATGTAAAAAGTATGTAACAAATTGATGTTTAATCTGATTGTGTTATTTAATTTCTTACTCGCAAGTTATTCGAATGTCAATATTATATTTTATAAATGGTTTATGGAGTGACGTCTTAGAGTTTTGAAGTCAAGCGAAGTCTGGAAATTGAAGTCAGGCAGCTGCGCCAAGTCGGTCACCAACAGCTTAAGCTAAGTCATGCTTTGAAGATTTTGAAAATAAGTCGACTCCCAAGTCTAAATAAATAAATTAATTAATAAATTAGTAAATGAATGAATAAACCAGGTTGCAGTATCTTTGCACTTGCGATGACAGTGTTGGGTATTTATTGATACATTTAAGGGGAGAGCCAATTGATTTAAAGTGTTCACACCTTCGATTTTTTAATAATTCATCATCACCACAATCATCATCACAACCACATCATTATCACAACACCATGGCCATTATCACCACATCACTATCATCGTTATCATCACTTGAACAAAAAAAGTACTAACATAAAATTTCCAAACTCATCATGAGGATAGATCTAAAAATTTTAAATAGTGGCATGAAAATGACAAAGGGAATGATGATGAACAAAATGCTAAAATTTTGTAAACATCTGAAATTATGAAGATGAAAATGGTGATGAGAATAAAACAAATTCATTTTAATATTTTCATTCACTTGTTCATAAGAAATGAATATCGCATTGCTGAAGAAGGCACAACTCCAAGTTATTAACTTGTCAGCACTTGAAAATGAAAAAATTAAGGTGATAAGAAAGAAATATAATTATTTTTGATTATGTTTTTTTTTTATGAAAACAAACAAAGCATAAAATACATAGGTCTTAAGGCAATTAAACTTGGGTTATAAATTGTACACCGTGATGATGACAGATGAAGGCAGACCTTGATGGGTTGATGTAAGTTAGAACAACTTCTGATAAGAGCAGAGTTGGTGCTGATTGGTTGATTGATATTTTCAAAAGCAAACTTTCCAACTTTTCAATGTTTGTTAAATCGCATGCAAGCATTTTATAACAAGCTCCATTGTAAACTGTTTGTGAAGATTAGTAAAGGCTTCTCAATTTCAATTATAACTGCTTTAGAGGTTTATCATAATCAGTCCGTCAATAAAAGAGTCATCTACGAAAAAGATAATAACTGACAACTCTTACTTATTCCTTCCATGTCTTCTTCTTCTTCTTCTTCACCATCATCACTCCATGCGGCCACATTTCCATTTCTCGCACTTTCTCCAGCAATTAATCTATTCATCACAGTGTTATTTCTGATCATTTGAAGTTTTTTAACTTGTAACTCTTTAAAATCAACCTTGGAATAATTAATTAACTTCACAATTGAATGCATGTCCAACTCAATAAATTTTTTTAAATATCTAAATAAACGAGAAAAAAGAAAAAAATAGAAATAAATGTCAGACCTCGATGTAATTATCATTCTCCCATAATTTATTGCATGATTTCAGTCTGAAATACGTTGAGTCATAACCAGATCCTATTGAAATTATCTGCAAATACATTAATAAAGAATATAACATCAATCAAAATAGAAGTAAAGATGAAATAGGATGGTACCCACCTGACAGCCAACATTATTTTTATGCAACTCTTCCAAGAACTTGACAAACATTTCATTGACAGATTGAGCCCTAATATAATAACCTCTGTAATTTTTTGACAAAATGTTTTTGCTTCACTAACAATTTTCAATGGTAAAAATTATGGCATGAGTTTAATTAAAGTGTATGATAGTTAAAATCTTCTAACAAAAAAAATTAAAATTTATCAGCACCTATAAAGCTTCAACTATATTATTTTCAGAAAAAGGTTTAAAATTTGACACCACTTGATATATAAAATTATAAAAAATATGGTATTAATTAGAATATTGATATTATTAAGTATTAACATGATAAAGTTATAATGAATTTATTAATTTAATGCAGGTAACCTGTTGATAAGAGGTGATCTATGACTTTGTTTAGCAGATTTTCGGATTATGAAATGTTTTATGAAATCATCTTCAAAATAACCTTTTGTAACCATGGATGCCTTGCTGACTGAGCTGCTATCATTAGTGCACTGCACCTTATTTTATTACAAATTTTTTGTAAAATTAAAATAAATAACCTTAGCCATGAATTTTACAATCCAAAAAACTGATATTAAATAATAGCTGTATACCATAATTAAATTTGAATGGCAACAGATAAATTATTGAAAAAAAATAATATAAAACATTCCATCCAACTCTCTAAGCAGCTTAGACAAAGCACCACTAACCGCAGTAGAGTTTATTTGTAAGAAGACATCTTTTTCCATTTAATAGTTTGTCCTGAATATCAAATGCAAAAAGGACTATAATAATATATAATTTATACAACAATAAATAAATATTTATTTCTTTTTAATAATTATAAATAATTTAGTTAGACCATAATTTATAATATTTTATCAATTAAAATGAAAATATAAAAAAATCTATAAGATAAGACATTAAACTATATAAATATATTATATAAAATACTAAAAAAGAGTAACAGTAAGTCGTAAGATATAAGTAGCCAACTTAGGTTACTTTTTAAAAAGTATTAAGTTTAATATTCAAGTTACTTAAAATAAAAACAAAAGTTACTAGTACAGTACTTGAGTATTTTATTAATTAGTTAATTTATAATTTATATTTTATTAAAATTAATAGTATCAGTCAGTATGTGTAGTATGTGGTATGACAGACAGTGGATACATTTGATGATTAAGATTACATTACTATTAACAACATAGAAGGTGTACATAATTAAATTGAAAAATTAATATTAAATAGACAAAACATGAAAATAGAACCTACAACAGTTGACTGATGTCATGTGTCAGTGGGAATATTCAGAAGGTGGGTTAGTTACCCTTGCTTGCTTTCCTTCTCCTGTGTGACCGTGATGGAATCCAGAATTTCAAAAATTAGAATTGAGCACTATTAAATGACTAACACTAATTGATTGACTAATGAGCCAACAAATAACTAAAAAAATAAAACTAAAAAATATATGAAGCTTATCAATTCTTTATAGAATACACAAATACACAACACAATACACTATCTCATCTTATGCTTAAAGCTTTAATTTACTTTAATTTTAATTTAATAATTAAACTGTTTCTTAATTTCAACATTAACAAGTTTTGGCATGGTGGAAAACAACTTTTTCAGGGGTTAGACTAATTGGCTGACTTGGCTGACTTACGCCTGGTTGGCTGACTTGCATGCCGAAGATAATGTATATGTGAATAAATCGTAATGCCGTGATACAAACACAGTATAATAAATAAGACAGCAATATTACCAAAAATTTATTTAAATTTATTTTGAAATAAAGTAAAACATCATGACAGCACTACATATAGATTGGCTGTCGAAACTTATAAGTGAATATAGGCGTGAAAAAATATTTTTCTTAACATGATCAAAACAATTTGTATATGATTCAAAATTGAATTGAGTCAAAATAATGCAGTATATAGCGACAATGTCACAAAATATAGTGGCTGAATTGATGTATTTATTATTGTACGAGGTATTTGGCTGACTTTTCACAGATACACAATTTTTCTTAATTTTTCTTAACCGTTGCATGCTTCTCAAATTGCTTACATTATATAAATAATTCTATTTATCTATTCAATTGCCTTAACTTATGATAATTAAGTTTTTTAATGGGTATACATTAGTACGATAGTCGAGTCCCCTTCATTCTTCCTCCCTTGCAGGTCGTTGGTGGTCGGCAGTGTGGTCCGTTGAAGGTCGACAGTGGCCCGTTGGAGTAGGTTTGTCAGAGTTTTACAGTAAACACTGAGGAATTTAAAATATCGTTGTGTCGAAGCGTTTGCCATTGTAATTTGAAGAGTTTGAAAAATAGTTGCTAGCGATAAATCTTGTTCAAAACTTATATTTAACTGTAGCCAAGGCTCACCAATTTTACTTCTACAAAAACTAATAAAAAGATAGTAAGTAAAAAAAAGAGAACAAGAAACATAACTGCTAACAAATGCTGGTTTGAATTAAACGTATGTATGTATGTATGAACCCATAAATGATTAGAACTATAGGGAAGTAATAATCATATCCGGGTTGTGTATGTATGTATGTATGTATGCATGTATGTATGTATTTGTATGTTTGTGTGTGCGTGTTTTGTGCTGTACCGTTGTTTGTATGTGTATGTTATACATATAATATACATGCAAATGCTAATGTAACCCATGTTTGAGAGTATTTGCGCTAAAAATGCAACCAGGAGAAGGATAGAGAATCGCATTTTTAAAAAAACAAACAAGAGAAGGAGAAGCACTTATTTGAACGGCATTTAGTGAGAAGCCCCCTCGCCACGTCAAGGCAGCCGTTCATGAGAGGGTTAATAATAAAACGACAGTCTAAAGGTCTAGAAATAATATACAACTTAACTAAAATATAACGAAAATAATATTGTGCTGATTGTTGTGTTTGATAGCTGTTTTTGGTGTTGTGTTGAACAAAATACAATACAAATAAACAAAAACGTAAGAAAGAAAGAATAGAGTCCCTAACTTGCCTATGTTCATTTACTTACGAATTAATCCTACCTATTTGTACAATTACAAAGAAAAAAGTAAGGAAAAGAGAATAAAACATAAAGCAAACAAAACAACGAATGTATGTATGTATGTGTGTATGTATGTATGTGTGTATGTATGTATGTGTGTATGTGTGTATGTGTGTATGTGTGTATGTATGTGTGTATGTGTGTATGTGTGTATGTATGACCGCGCAATAATAATAACAATAAAATAAACGAACAAATCTATAAATAATAAGTAACGAACAAAATAAACGAACAAATCTAGAAATAATAAGTAACGAATAAAATAAACGAATAAATCTAGAAATAATAAGTAACGAATAAAATAAAAGAACCATTCTAGTAATAATAATTAACGAATGGTCTAGAAATAATAAACAACTTAACTAAACTTAACTAAAATATAACGAAATCAATCATTGTTGTGATTGATTGCTGCTGTTGGTGTCGTGTTGAACAAAAAACAATACAATACAAATAACCCAGAACGTAAGAAAGAAAGAATAGAGTCCCTAACTTACCTATGTTCACTAAATTAACTCACCTACCTATGTTCAATTAGCTCAACTTACGAATTAATCCTACCTATTTGTACAATTACGAAGAAAAAAGTAAGGAAAAGAGAATAAATCATCAAGCAAACAAAACAACGAATATATGTATGTATGTGTGTGTGTGTGTTTGTGTGTGTGTATGTATGACCACGCAATAATAATAACAATAAAATAAACGAACAAATCTAAAAATAATAAGTAACGAATAAAATAAACGAATAATAAATCTAGAAATAATACGTAACGAATAAAATAAACGAATAAATCTAGTAATAATAAGTAACGAATGGTCTAGAAATAATAAATAAATTACTAAACTTAACTAAAATATAACAAAAATAATATTGTGTTGATTGTTGTGTTTCATTGCTGCTGTTGGTGTTGTGTTGAACAAAAAACAATACAATACAAATAAACTAGAACGTAAGAAAGAAAGATTAGAGTCTCTAACTTACCTAAATTCACTAAATTAACTCACCTACCTATGTTCAATTAGCTCAACTTACGAATTAATCCTACCTATTTGTACAATTACGAAGAAAAAAGTAAGTAAAGAGAATAAAACATCAAGCAAACAAAACAACGAATATATGTATGTGTGTGTGTGTGTGTGTTTGTGTGTGTGTATGTATGACCACGCAATAATAATAATAACAATAAAATAAACGAACAAATCTAGAAATAATAAGTAACGAATAAAATAAACGAACAAATTTAGAAATAATAAGTAACGAACACGTCTAGAAATAATAAATAACTTAACTTAAAAATAAAATAAAGAAATAAAAAAAGGGACCAGGCGCTAAGGGAATGCCCTAAATCGCCCGGTCGGATCTCAACGCATTTTCGGCTCCTATTTATACCA